TTGCCCCTGAAAATCGACGGTGGTCACTAAAGCTCGTGAAGTGGTGGGCAGGGTGGGCACCAAGCGAAAAGTCCGAAACTGTAACTAGGTATCTGCTCGACGACGTACTGGATCGAGAAGAGAACCAGTTGGGTGACTCGTTGGCTCCGGACGCGGTGTCATGCAGTAGCGCGACTCTCGAAGGTATACGGGATATAGACTATGGAGGCTCCCAGTTACTAGACAACACTACACAGGACACTCAGCCTACGACCGAATCAGCAGATGCACAAGAGCACACAGAAACATCTAATACCGAGTTGGGAGAGCTAAAGTCACTGCTTCAAGGGCTACACGATATGGTCAAGAATATTAGCAAGATACCGCGTTCAACCCAGGAACAGTTGTGTGACGATGATATTGAATCGCCAGCGGCTGGAAATCTTGGGCCAGGATCTGATACGACAGCACTAGTGTCTGAGCTTCCGGACGCCAAGTCGTGGAAAGATTATGTTCATCAGTACTGGAATGCGAATCCGGACTACCACCAGTATCGCGCGGGAGTTGACATGCTTTCACATGAACGAAAAGTTCATCGCTCGCGCCTCTCCAGGATGAAGATCATCGCCGAGTTCATTCGCGAACAGTACGACGATGACCAAGACAAGTTCGAGAAGCACTTCACAACCTTCATTGGCGAGGAACTCACCGTCAACAAGATCCTTGCAGCAGTTCGTAAGCTTCATAAGCGAAGGTGAACCAGTATTGTAGCGGTGTACCATCGTCCTTTATTGTATCATCGTCCTTTATAGTACTGTCGTCTTTTATTGTACCATCGTCCTTAATTGTCCGTCGTCCCGTATTGTACCGTCGTCCTTTATTGTACTATCGTCCCTTATTGTACTCTTGATACTTTACAAAATCCTATACAAAATGGAAATGACGGATTTGCACCTTCAAATTTTTACCACTACCACTCATGTCTACTCCAAATCTTTATGGGGCGTAATCCTCATCGCTGTCAGTAGAGCTGTTGAAGTCACTCGCGTGATATTCGTCGACACTGTTGTCTCCATCGTCTTGCGTATCTTCTGATTCTGATTCTTCATCCGGTTCTTCATACTCAAAGGCGTTTTCTTCCGATCCTTCGTCGTTTTCCTCATCACTGAAGGTTAGCTCATCAGGGACTGGGAACGGCTGCGAACACGCTGGGCACTGCAAGTCACGGGATCGAATATTGCGCAGATATTGAGCGTTGTACGTCACGAGGCACTCGTAGTCAACCGTGTGGCTACATTGAGGCCCTTCCAGTACCACGCCCGTGATGACTTTGAGGCAAACCACACACTTTGGTGGTGCCGCCACATTCTTGACAATCATCACTTCATCGTCATCAACATCAAGATGCACGTAGGCGCGGCAGTTGCTGCACCGTGGGTCAATAGGGATTGTCCGCTTGATGCACTCTCGGTGGTACGGCTGCCGACAACTGTCTTGATCACACACCCATGTCTCACCA